GGCGAGGCACGCACCCCGCCGCCGACACGGCCGCGGCTCCTTCTCGCTCGGGGTGTGGGGGGAGGAAGGCGGAGGACGACACCTCGGACGCCACGGGAAGCGAGCTGGAAAGGAGACCGCCCAGCCTGAACACCGGACACCGCCCGCGGCCCGCACGAGGACGGGGAGCGCAGACGAGACCGGCCCGCCGGGGGCCCTCTCCGACGCGACCCGAAAGGCCTCATCGATCGGTCGGGGGAAGACAGGAAAGGAGAGACAAGATGCCCGTAAAAGGCCTCCCACGGTAGGCCAGAACGCTGGTCCGGAGACAGCAGGGCAGCCCGAGCCCAATCCGTGGGGACCCTACTCGGGGCCGGGTGCTCAAAAGGACGACGAGAGCTCCCGCGAGCCACTCTTAATCCCCAGCCATCGTGGTTTTGCTTTCCCGCTCCGCGGGCTCCAGCTTTAACGCCGGCAAAAGAACGAGAAAAGGGCGAAAAGGAGAGCGAAGAGACAGAAGGGAAAAGAAGTGGGGGGGGGGGGGGGGGAAGGGGAAGAGGTGCCGCCACCTCGTCACAACCACCGGGCCCATAGGCAATTGCAAGCAAGAGCCGGAACGCTGCTAAGGCATCTCTGCGCCGGGACGTACCGACGGGCTCGCCCGCCCGTGCCATCATCGGAGGAGCCCTCGCTCAAACTTCACCGACCGGGCGGGGAGAAAAATCGACCTGGGGATCGAGTCCCGCCACGGTCTTCTTCCAGCGTTCGAGTGCCGGCCTCCGCCGCCGGTTTTTTTTGCCCTCACCCCGCGGGAGGGACGAACGAGCCACCTCGGGAAGCGCCGCTCGCTAGCGCTGCTGCGGAGACGAGCCACTACTCGCTCCCATAAAACGGATAGAAACGACTCCTCCCGCGCCGCCACGCAACACCAGAATCTAGGCTCACCCAAGTGGCGAGCAACCGACGAGTAATATTACGAGGATGCAAATGAAGGCATAAAGAGAGGGCCACCCACTCCGCCGGCTCCGGAAGCGGCGCGCCTGACAAGTCCGTTGCAGCACCTCGGAAACGCCAGTGTCTGAAAAGAGGCGAAAATCACCCCAGCGGCGGCGCGAGTTACTCGCCAGATACTCGCGAGGTACTCTCGAGGTACGCCCGAGGTACTCTCGAGGTACGTGAGAGGTACGCGAGAAGTACGCGAGAGGTACGCGAGTACGCGAGAGGTACGCGCGAGGTACGCCCGAGGTACTCGCCAGGTACGCGAGAGGTACGGGCGAGGTACTCCCGAGGTACGCCCGAGGTACGCGCGAAGTAAGTAGGCGAGAGGTACGCCCGAGGTACGCCCGAGGTACGCCCGAGGTACTCCCGAGGTATGCGCGAGGTACGCCCGAGGTACGCCCCAGGTACACGCGAAGTAGGCGCGGGGTACTCCCGAGGTACGCCCGAGGTACTCCCGAGGTACCCGCGACGTACGCGCGAAGTAGGCGAGAGGTACGCGCGAGGTACTCCCGAGGTGCGCCCAAGGTACGCGCGAGGTATTCCCGAGGTACGCCCGAGGTACGCGCGAAGTAGGCGAGAGGTACTCGCGAGGTGCTCGCGAGGTGCTCCCGATGTACTCCCGAGGTGCGCGTGAGGTACTCGGCTCTCCCGTTACCGGCGGTGGCAGCACTGGGCGAGCCGCAGCCGCTGGGTCTGTCGAGGTACCGCCGCCCCCTGTCGCGCCCCGTCCCGTCCCCGGGCCCCGCTCCGCTCGGGGCCGGCCGGCGGACGCCGCCGCCGCCACACGCGGGTGCCCCGTGCAGAGCGGAGCAGCGGGGCCGCGGCCGCTCTCCCCCCACTCCGCAGCCGCCCGGCAGCCGCCACCCCCGAGCTCCTGATCTGAGTCACCTCGTTGATGTCCTTTACAGGACGTAATAGCTACTTCTTCAGGTAGCTGAACAGCTTCCAGTAATTGTAGAATTTCTGTAGCATGTTTAATCTGTTTCCTTTGTGTGTTCAAAAGTCCTCCTTTCTTCCAGGGATCAGCATGTGCATGTACCACACCAAATGCGTATTTAGGATCAGTCCAAATATTCTTCCTTTTCTCTTTAGCCAGTTCCAGGGCTCTCGTTAACGCTATTATTTCTGCCTTCTGGGCAGAGATATTCGCAGGTAAAGGTTTAGCTTCTATTACCTGTGAAGTGGTGGTAATGGCATATCCTGCCTTTCCTTTACCATTTCTCATGAAGCTACTACCATCAGTAAACCGAGAATCAGCATCTTCCAGAAGTTTTTCTTTTAAGTCAGGTTCTTTCCAGTGTGCCAAAATGCACCCAAAGGACTCTTTCTCAAGATCTCTTCACTCTGCTGATTTTCCATCCTCGGTCTCACACACGCAGACGCAGACAGACACACGAACGGGATCCCACAGACACATTGTTACATTAATTGCAACAATGTATTCTAGTTCAGAGTTCCATTTTTAGGCCATTTTCCCTGATCTTCCAAAGTATACAATGTTTCTACATTCTGCTGATTTTCCATCCTCGGTCTCAGGCACACAGACACAGACAGACACAGGAACGGGATCCCGCAGACAAACTGTTACATTAATTGCAACAAGGTATTCTAGTCCGGTCCTTCTTTCCAGTGCGCCAAAATGCACCCGAAGGACTCTTTGTCAAGATCTTTTCACTCTGCTGATTTTCCATCCTCGGTCTCACACACGCAGACGCAGACAGACGCAGGAACGGGATCCTACAGACAAACTGTTACATTAATTGCAACAATTTATTCTAGTTCAGAGCTCCATTTGTAGGCCATTTTCCCTGATCTTCCAAAGTATACAATGTTTCTACATTCTGCTGATTTTCCATCCTCGGTCTCAGGCACACAGACACAGACAGACACAGGAACGGGATCCCGCAGACAAACTGTTACATTAATTGCAACAAGGTATTCTAGTCCGGTCCTTCTTTCCAGTGCGCCAAAATGCACCCGAAGGACTCTTTGTCAAGATCTTTTCACTCTGCTGATTTTCCATCCTCGGTCTCACACACGCAGACGCAGACAGACGCAGGAACGGGATCCTACAGACAAACTGTTACATTAATTGCAACAATTTATTCTAGTTCAGAGCTCCATTTTTAGGCCATTTTCCCTGATCTTCCAAAGTATACAATGTTTCTTCACTCTGCTGATTTTCCATCCTCGGTCTCAGGCACACAGACACAGACAGACACAGGAACGGGATCCCGCAGACAAACTGTTACATTAATTGCAACAAGGTATTCTAGTCCGGTCCTTCTTTCCAGTGCGCCAAAATGCACCCGAAGGACTCTTTGTCAAGATCTTTTCACTCTGCTGATTTTCCATCCTCGGTCTCACACACGCAGACGCAGACAGACGCAGGAACGGGATCCTACAGACAAACTGTTACATTAATTGCAACAATTTATTCTAGTTCAGAGCTCCATTTTTAGGCCATTTTCCCTGATCTTCCAAAGTATACAATGTTTCTTCACTCTGCTGATTTTCCATCATCTGTCTCAGGCACACAGACACAGACAGACACAGGAACGGGATCCCGCAGACAAACTGCTACATTAATTGCAACAATGTATTCTAGTTCAGAGTTCCATTTTCCCTGATCTTCCAAAGTATACAATATTTCTCCACTCTGCTGATTTTCCATCCTCGGTCTCAGGCACACAGACGCAGACAGACGCAGGAACGGGATCCCACAGACAAACTGTTACATTAATTGCAACAATTTATTCTAGTTCAGAGCTCCATTTTTAGGCCATTTTCCCTGATCTTCCAAAGTATACAATGTTTCTCCACTCTGCTGATTTTCCATCATCGGTCTCAGGCACACAGACACAGACAGGCACAGGAACGGGATCCCGCAGACAAACTGTTACATTAATTGCAACAAGGTATTTTAGTCCGGTCCTTCTTTCCAGTGCGCCAAAATGCACCCGAAGGACTCTTTCTCAAGATCTTTTCACTCTGCTGATTTTCCATCATCGGTCTCAGGCACACAGACACAGGAACGGGATCCCACAGACAAACTGTTACATTAATTGCAACAATTTATTCTAGTTCAGAGCTCCATTTGTAGGCCATTTTCCCTGATCTCCCAAAGTATACAATGTTTCTTCACTCTGCTGATTTTCCATCATCGGTCTCAAGCACACAGACAGACAGACGCAGGAACGGGATCCCACAGACAAACTGTTACATTAATTGCAACAAGGTATTCTAGTCCGGTCCTTCTTTCCAGTGTGCCAAAATGCACCCGAAGGACTCTTTGTCAAGATCTCTTCACTCTGCTGATTTTCCATCCTCGGTCTCACACACGCAGACGCAGACAGACGCAGGAACGGGATCCCACAGACAAACTGTTACATTAATTGCAACAATTTATTCTAGTTCAGAGCTCCATTTTTAGGCCATTTTCCCTGATCTTCCAAAGTATACAATGTTTCTCCACTCTGCTGATTTTCCATCATCGGTCTCAGGCACACAGACGCAGACAGACGCAGGAACGGGATCCCACAGACAAACTGTTACATTCATTGCAACAAGGTATTCTAGTTCAGAGCTCCATTTTTAGGCCATTTTCCCTGATCTTCCAAAGTGTACAATGTTTCTTCATTCTGCTGATTTTCCATCCTCGGTCTCAGGCACACAGACACAGACAGGCACAGGAACGGGATCCCGCAGACAAACTGTTACATTAATTGCAACAAGGTATTCTAGTCCGGTCCTTCTTTCCAGTGTGCCAAAATGCACCCGAAGGACTCTTTGTCAAGATCTCTTCACTCTGCTGATTTTCCATCCTCGGTCTCACACACGCAGACGCAGACAGACGCAGGAACGGGATCCCACAGACAAACTGTTACATTAATTGCAACAATTTATTCTAGTTCAGAGCTCCATTTTTAGGCCATTTTCCCTGATCTTCCAAAGTATACAATGTTTCTTCACTCTGCTGATTTTCCATCATCTGTCTCAGGCACACAGACACAGACAGACACAGGAACGGGATCCCGCAGACAAACTGTTACATTAATTGCAACAAGGTATTCTAGTCCGGTCCTTCTTTCCAGTGTGCCAAAATGCACCCGAAGGACTCTTTCTCAAGATCTCTTCACTCTGCTGATTTTCCATCCTCGGTCTCACACACGCAGACGCAGACAGACGCAGGAACGGGATCCCAGAGACAAACGGTTACGTTAATTGCAACAATGTATTCTAATTCAGAGCTCCATTTTTAGGCCATTTCCCCTGATCTTCCAAAGTATACAATGTTTCTTCACTCTGCTGATTTTCCATCCTCGGTCTCAGGCACACAGACACAGACAGACGCAGGAACGGGATCCCGCAGACAAACTGTTACATTAATTGCAACAAGGTATTCCAGTCCGGTCCTTCTTTCCAGTGTGCCAAAATGCACCCGAAGGACTCTTTCTCAAGATCTCTTCACTCTGCTGATTTTCCATCCTCGGTCTCACACACAGAGACACACGAACGGGATCCCACATTAAAATCCAAAACCTTTCCTACAAGACGCCCACTGCGTCTCCCAGGACGCAAACCACTCCGGGGACACACTTGCCAACAAAGTTTTCAAGCTGACAAGCAGGTATTCTTGATTGCGGCGCCGGGAGATACGGGCTCCTCGTAACGTGTGTCTCTCAATTGCCACGCAAGCCGTCCTTTTCTAGCCACTGGGCATACATACCTATTCACGAGGCTACGTATGGGTGACATAATTTTCCAGGAGGTTCCCCGCCTGCGTGCAGAATTGTGGTGGTGGTGGTGGTCTCTGAGGATCGTTTACTTCTTCCAACGATCTTCATCACTTCTTTCAGCCTTTGAAGCACGCGCAGTAGATGCTCACATCAGTTTAATTGGCTCGTTAGCACCAGAGAGAGACATAATAATCCTCCTATCCTCCTACTTATCAGGTAGTTGAACTGTAGCCCACCCTGGACACCTGCGGTTCCCAGATACTCCTTATCCCCGTGTCCTGTTCTTCTAAACTTTTACTTACAACTATGTCAACTGCAACGATTTCTCTTGTGAGAATTCTGTTCTCTAAGCTGTAGTCTATTTTTTTTCTCTCTGCGTCATGCACCTCAGTGATTTTCCGTTGCTGCTGTTACAAAGCCATCAAACTTAACATGACCCGAAACTGATTCTAAAGGTTTCTGTATTCCATCGTGGGATTTTGCGCCCCCTTGTCTCAGGACCGGGCGGGCAGAGGCGGCGGCCCAGGTCCCGGCGCTCGCCAGACTTTTTTGTTCCGTGGGGGCTTGGGGATTTCGTTGTTTCTTTGGTTTCGCGTGTCCGTCTGCCGACACACAGCCCACCACCCCCTCCCGCCGCGAAAAACACGTCTCTGGCTGGCGGGGGACGGGACGGGACGGGACGGGACGGGACGGGACGGACGGACACTGGCACTGCACCAGCTACTGAGAAAATAGGCTGCGACTGCTGAACCCAGGACGCGCTGAAATACAGCAGCCGAGGCACCCGGGGGTTCTGCAGATGCCGGGGCGCCCACCACCTCCTCCCCCCACCCCGCTCCGAGGCGCCTCCCCCAGCCTCCTCCCTCCGCAACGGGCTGGGAAGAGATTGCAAAGACGTTCTTCTGGTTGTGGTTTTGGGGAAATGTGTCTGAAACTTCGGAGAAGAGATGAAGATAGCGTGGTTGAGGGTAGAAGGGAGGATTATGTTGCTCTTGGTGACCATCCAAACAGGGTACCCCACTAGTGATGTTCTCGTGTGTGAGGACGGAGGCACGGACCCAGACTTAGAGTGCAAGCTGGATCATCGTTTATTGAACAGATGACACGATATTTATA